GTTCGTGTATGTATATACGAGTACAAACAGATGGACAAACAGAGAGGTGGGCATGGCTAAATCGACACAGCTCGTCACGCTGATTATTTACTTCATAGAGTCTCCGATGTTTCCTTCTTGTTGGCAAACTTAATATACTCTGTTCAGGGTATACAAAATAATAACGAATGTTGGCAAGCCCTTTGCAATGTATAGCTTGAGACTGACTCCTAAAAATTAATGAGGCAATATAACAATATTTCTTTAAAAGACCACTTCTATGTGTACATGAGAACATATATGCAAATATGTGTGATATTTATTACGATCTCTCTGTCTTTATCTGCGAAAAATGTGCATCTTTACATAATCTCCACTCATATACGCACTTAAATCCCTGTTACCGCAGGTAAACAAAAATGTTGCATTCAACTTCCTCATAAAATGAAAGCCTTCAACATAAACACTGTCATAATGATTACCATAATTATGTAATATTTATATATATTTTTTTTTCAACACACGTGTACATATACATATATATACTTATGTACATAGTTGTAGTGTGTGTGTGTAATTAAAGAAACGCCTCCAACTGACACCTGTCGGCCGCCAGCTGTTGACTGTTGACTTCAAGCACGCTTAAGCCTTTTGATCATACAATCCACAATCTGTAGGCTGCACTGCTCGTCTTGATGACGAGGAAAAATAATGTTTGCCACGCGACAGTAAATATATATAAACTCAGACAAGTGAATATGTAAGTTTTGCCCTCCTCTGACAGCAGCTTACAGGCGGAAGCATGCAAAAAAATTCCTATATCAAATTATTACTTAGTAATTTGCTAGACTTAGCTCTCAAGTCGGGTACGATGAACGTGTGTGCAGTAATCAGTGGGTTGTGAATTAAAAATTCGACCGAGGAACTTCGCAGACAATATAAAATTTCATTTACAAAAGCTTGTTTTGAAACCTAGCATCCATTACAAGGATACAATAGCAGTATTCGATTGCCAAGCGTTAGAGAGTAGTGAACAGAAAAAAAATTATGTTGCACTTTTTGCTTTGTAGGAGAAATTTTTCATTTCATTTTAGTAACCTCTTAGTTTCGAGCTTTGGGTGTTCTGTAAACAACTATAATAAAAATATTTTAATATTTTCTATTTTGAGACAATGATAAACTATTCTCAAATTTGTTAAACAAAACAGGCAGAATTGAAGTTAGCGGTTGTACCAGTGTAATGAGGTAACCGCATACTCTCTTTTATCACAACGCCATCTAAATTTTTTTTCAACAGAGAGCAACACGTAAATATAGTTAGAAGATAAATGGTGAATCGAAGACAGCTAATGTACTAGGCGGCTCCCGTTGGTTAATATCACAAGGATACAAATCACCGTTAGAAAGACAAACATAGATAATATTGTTTTTAATAATGAATATGCATCAAACGCGGCAGACTTTCAACCCGACATTGTCATCGGCCTCACATCTATGTGTCTTAGTCACTAAATATATATTTATATACACTAAATAATCGTATATATTGCAGTATGTTTGTACATAGATCAAGTTACAACAAAAGAAAATAGACATTTACTGTTTGACGTTAATCACCTGTGGCTAAGTAAATCAAATTATTTAGTCAATTGTGACTTGAGCCGATTTGGCTTAGGATAAACACCGTAACTAAAGCTCTTAATCGCATCATTTCTAGCGGAACGAAGCCACCTACAACTAATCCATTACTAGCGTTATAATATACATATGTACAAAAATTGTTCCTATGTGCAAAATACTTACAACTAAGCTAATAAGAATAAGTGAAAATAGAGCATGCTTTTCCTTCATGTCCTCGTTTTTGCAAAAGATTTAGGTATTTTAGTACGAGTCTAGCATTAACACTCTTCATACCCAAAACATTAACCAAAATGTGTTGAGTCGATAATTTTTGAGATGTTCAGATCCTCTGCTATATCTCTGATGCCAACACGGCGATTTTAAGCAATATTTCTTTAACGTTTTCGATGTTTCGTCAACGGTTTTTAACAGAGGCGAATGGGCGGCTCGCATGAAGCAAGTGCTCGATGACTTCACGACCTTCAGTGAACGCGTTGCGCCACTGAAATAATTGTGTTCGTCATAAATGAAACTCCCCAAAACAATTTTGCTATATTTTCAACGATTTTGTAAGCGTGATTCCCTTGGAAACACATAATTTCAAAACAAATTTTTTTCATGGTAAAACATTCAGACAAACTGTTCGCGTCGTAAACAAACAGCTGCCAATTACACACTACTTGACATGGAGATCAAACTTCACGCGAATATAAAAAAGGTTGAATGATCAATCTTAGATTAAAATTTTATCGATTTAGTTTGTGCGCGATCAAATTTGATCAAATGGTATATCAGAAAGGGTTACTACAACACACAACTTCTAGGAATTTATATTAAAATCTTATATTATTCCACATATTTTTAAACATTGACTGCATGACTCCAATACCAGAAAAATCTATCATAAGTAGTATATTTTATTTTTTAAAATTGTATATTTCTATAGTCTTTACATTTTCGAAAAATAGTGAAAACACAGGGCATGAAAAACCACGCAGGTTTCACCCATTTTCACTTGCAAACAGTAAATCAGCACTTGAGTATAATAAATAATAATAATAGGTAAAATTTCTATGCAACAAACAAAATGCAATACCGAAGTGTGCAACAAAGTTGCAATTATGCTGCGCCGCTGCACTCAACGAAAAAGTCTAATAATAGGCTCATTACTAACGGAAGTCAATCACCAGAGTCAATGGCAATCGACAGGTGCCAAGCAGCGAATTCCAAGCGTGGCAAACCTGTAGGCGCCACAGCCATGAAGCTGAATGAATACTCAAACCTTTAGCCTTGCGCTCTGATCATTCTCTTTCATTAATTTCAGGAGACAGCGGGGCGCGCGGGCTCTTCGGCAGTCAAGTGCTAAATTCACTATTAAAATTATTTTATGGAAGTCAAGTGATTTTAGCGTTTTGTTGCAGCTACCGTTATCTGCTTTTGTTGATTTTATTATTGAAAAGCGAAAGAGCATTTAAATATGCAAAAAAGCCACGAACATAAATTACCAAGTGTGTAAAATGCAAGCGCAAAAGAAAATTGGAAAATTCAGAAAAATTAAAGGCGTTTTTTTAATGTTTTCACTTTTATTTTTTCAACCTCGAGATTCCTAAGTGTATACGAATTTGTAAGACATTCAAAAGACTTTGTCAACATATGAAGTAGTTAAGCCCCTTATTTTATTAATAATTATACCGAACCCAGCAAAACAATATCTCTCTCTCTCGCCTTCCCAATAGTTCTCTAAGCCCTCAATGAATCTTCTTCCTTCTCCTTCTCTTTCTACCTTTAGTATTTACAGTGGACTATTGATTGTTTGTAGGTCCTACATTCACAAAATAGCTTTAATAGATTATCGAAATCTCCTCGCAAGAATTCTACGAAGATTCCCTACATCTAGAGATGAACACTATTTAGATAACGAAATAGCGAAAGTTTTAACTGATTCGGTCAAAATTCAAACGAATCTTGATACTGCTTCATCCGCTTCAGAATCCATCGTGCTCTATCTCTGTCGACCCGTAACTCAGAAATATCACCATTTCACGTATTCGTGCCTAGCTTTCCAGAAAATTAGACTTAAAAGCTTCTCTACTGTGGAGACTAGTTCTAGTATACATGAACTGAGATCTGATTATCATTATTACATTAGCCTGGATATCAGAACTCGTCTTTAAATAGTTATACGTACAAGAGACCTAAACCAAGTACATTTGAATGGGTGGGGTTGCTTAACGAATGGCATGATGAGCTTGCTTGATAACGTATTTTTTAGTAAAAAGCTTTTGGGAGTTTTTGTGACTACATACAGTCTTTCTCTGGACTTATGGGTGTAACTTAGGGAACAAGGATTGTAAGCGAGTCTTCTTCCGTTCTAAAACTAGACCTATGGATCTCCAGTAAGCTGGGCAAGAACCATTTCTTGTGCGACTGCAAGATCCTTCCGGCCCAAAATGAAACGTAAGAGGTCCTCCGAACTATTTGCTCTTATCGAAGTCAATATCGCCGCAATTGTAGGTATTTATATGTGACTTAATCTCTAAAACAACAACAAATCACTCACGTTTGTGCAAGGTCGCTAAAAATAGGTTATATTTTGAAATTATACTAGATTATGTATTAAACCTAAGTGCACGAGAAAAAAAAATACGCAGCTTCGATTTCAACCATTGACAAGAAAAGCGGATTTCCAAATGCTGCATGGCTGCAACATTACCCCAATATTTGTTTACAACAACAGAAACTGCTGACTTTTATTAGACATCGCGCACAGAGTTGATAATTCAAGCACAAGGTCACTCGGTTGTAGAGCTGCCGTTAGATTACTAAATGTATGCGCTTGTGCACTAGAAATCAATCAATCATTCAGTTACCGCATTAAATACTAACCTAAAAAAACAAAAAAAAACTTAATTAAATAAAATTAAAGCGCATAACTTCTGTAATCACACCAAATGTAGTGTGACCAATGACAACTATGGCATAGCCTTCAATCGGCTGTAAGCGTTTATTTGTTAAGTGTTAATTGAAAGCTCACATCTGATTTGCACCAAATTTGAGTGAATACAACCAAAAGCCGATTGCAGTTGCATGATTTTTTTCGATATATATAATTTCGAAATTAATTGTGCCTCTAAATGGAAATACCAACTAACACGACTATCGCCTAGTTGCTTAGTTGCTTATACAAGTCAAGTAGTGTCTAGCTTGTGTAAGTGGGTAAGTGCGTAAGACTTACTATAACTTAAATAGATAGCTCATGCAATTAGCCAAAATTGTCATTACAACTAATAAAGCAAGTGGCATACTTTGATTTTTGAACATTCTTCACGCCGTTATTTTACTCTACTTCCATATATGAGTACTCCTCTCACCCTTTGTTGTTTTGTGTGTTTTCTTTTCAGGTGATATCGATGACTGCATCGTAACACCGACTGTGCAAGGACAATTTACCCCACTGCCTGAGGCGCTCTGCGATGTCATTATGGATCTTACCGCAGAGGGTCACTCGGCCACCATAGAGAATGTGCGCATCAAATTGAGCATACGATTTCCGCATATGACACCGCCAGCCACCGAAGTTATCTACGATACGCTAGCACAATTGATGCAGGAACAGAAGATATATCAAACCGCGAAGGGTTACTTCATCTTTACGCCAGAGTAAGTATTTGAATCATATAGAACAGATCAAATCAGATCATAGAGTAGAACAACCATCTGATTTTAAAAACAAAGTGTGCACTCGGCTGGGTTAACCTAGAGTTGTTGCCCTCCGAAAACTGCAAAAGATACAAGCGTGGAGATTACTCGTATTTTTAAAATTGTATTACCAAGGCAAATATTGAATGAAAATTTAATTTGAAACACTAATAGTTTGCGGTCTTGTAAAGTAATGTAGATTTGCAGATGTTAAAATAAGAGCGAGAGACCTAACCTGCAAATAAAAGTTCTGTTTCTAAGACCACCCACTAATACTAGAGACCTTGTTATCGCTCTCCCTTCAGCTAGAGTAGTATCTTCTCTACTCATGGTTATAAAGCCATACTTGATCATTTTTAGACATTAAAGCTTAGTGAAAAATTGTGTTCGGAGCCAAGATCAATAATTTCAGGCACTTTATTCTCAGGTGAATGATAATACTCGAATTTATTCCTTATTTTTTCGGTAAAACGAAAGTCTGGTAGGATCTTTTTCGAACTCAAGGAAAGAATATTCACATATTGCTTCAAAAAACAGTGTAGGAAACACAAAAAAGAACGAGTACAGGAGGTCTTGACAGTACGATAAAGTTTTAAAGCAAGTTTAATGACGTAGAAACAGTTTGAAGTTCATAAAAAATTACCAGAAATCACGAACGAAAAGATTTCGTCAATCGTACAGCAATCCAAGCTCCAAACCCTAAACTTATCAACAATTTTGTTTGGAAAAATAAATTGCATCCCTAATCCTTGATAGGTCAATACGTAACTAAATTTTATTTCTCAAAACTCTCAACTAGACGTCGCCGCAGCCGTTCGAGACCGCGAGCCATGCGCAATGGTTATCAAGATTTTGAAGAGACCGATGAAATACCTCAGGAGGCGCGCACAATGCTTATGACCAATGCGGAGGCGCTTCACTCATTGTACGGTGAAATCTCCACAGAACGCGACGGCGATCTAACGCATCAATGCATACAAACCAATTTGGCCGATGTCATATGCGGCGGTAAGTGAACAAGATTTATCGATCAATTGAAAAAAAATGTAAACGAAAAATATTCATTGCAGGCAATCCAAATGACAAAATACTTTATCCACGCGCCGCCAAAAGACGCAGCGCCTCATTTCCAACACCGCGCAGCCTGGAGAGAAGACATAGTCTGCGCTTGTTTGGCTCCTCAAAGCGACTGCAGCGTTGCGCGTCAACACGAAGCCTCTCAAAGACATACGCACAAACTTTAGCCACGGACAGTAGCAGCTCGGAGTACCAAAGCACAGATTCTTCGTCACCAAGTAAGTGGGGTTATAAAAGAACACAGCGTTTGAATAAATATGTGTCTATGACGCGCAGATCTAGCGATCGTACAGAGAGTCAAGCACCGAAGCTAGAAACCGTAATTAAAAAAACAATATACAGGTATCATCTAGTGACAAAAGAAAGTAGTTTGTATCAAAACGAAAAAATATCGGATTTGGTCGTAAACTCACTCGGATATCGTTAAGTTGACTATGAAACCGACCGAGTAAAAATATTTAGAATACAACTGCTGCTTGGAAACTACTTTCGTCTGCGGGAGGGTATAAATATCTAAAGTGCAAACCGGGGCTTGTTGTTGCAAGAGTTGAAAACATTTTTCAGATAATTTTTGAGGAATGTTTCCGAGTCAACAGCTCATGGCTGGATATAATACTAGGTGCGTTCCGGTTACTTAGGATGGATTGTCATGGCAACGGTACATATGTAAATGCCTAGAAATATTGGTAATGTGAAGACCATGGACGAAATTTAAAGCCGTCGATAAGAATTAGTTACTGCTTCAAATTCACTATTACAATACCGACTACTTGGAGAGTTAGTTGAAAGGATGACACTACCAAACTTAAACTTAATTTCACGTTATAAACTGTACAGATTTCTATCAAAAGTCTATCTTTCTTACTTTTTAGAAAAGGGATCTTTGCTATCGCGCCTCTTCCGACGTAGTGGACGCGCCAAACAACGTCAAATCGAAACATATTCAGCCCAGTTCCCGCCTGCCGAGTGGTTCAATTCTCGTGCAGTGCATTTACATAGTGTTGGCACACAAACCGCCGATCACGTAAGTTACTAGCACAAGCTACTATCCCCCGATTAACACACTTATATATCATTTTTCACTTCTCGCCCACTTTAGGATATGCCGGTGGCGCATACGCTCTCCAATTCCACATTTTACGATGGTTCTGAGTTGAGTCAACGTTCACTGACACTGCCACGCCGACATCGACGACACATGTCCAGCGATTCGACCTTCCTTATATCGTCGCGCGATTGTTCGCCCATACGCCGACGTTCACCAGTCTACTGCAGCAGTTCACTGCCCCGTTCAACACAATCCATACCGGCTACAGCGAGCGGTACAACGAACATAACCAACGCACCGACGTCGGCGACCAAAACGAATCACTCCACCGCGACACTATCACGCCTCTCAGCACCAAACCATACAACAACAGCAAGCGCTGTAGCCGCCGCCGCCGTGTCAGCGAACGCACAGAAATCTTCCTCAAAGAGTGTTATTGGCAAACACATTTTCGAACAGTCGCCCTCGCGTACCAGCGGTACGCTAAAAGCGCCAGCTACAAAGCGACAGTCAGATAATATCATAATTAACGGTTACGCCAGCAATTTGGATAGCGGCAAGGTGAGCTATCGCAGCGTACAAAGCGGTCCGTCTAGTTTGGAATCGGGCAAAGCCTCATCCATGCTTACATCGGGACCGTCGAGTATCGATAGCGGTAAGGTGTCATTCAGCAAAACCAGTGGTCATTCTAGTCTTGACTCGCAGTGTTCGACCAATACGGCGGTGGTGCAACCAAGTCCAGCCAGATCGATACTCGTATTGAACGGTTCGCCGCGCGGCACACCGCGTCATCAGGCAATGCGTGCACGCGCCGCCGAACAGACGCAACGGCAACGTGCCTCGACGCCATCGCGTATACTCGAGGAAATCACCAACCAACAAAAGCCGCTGCCGGGCCGCACCACAAGCAATACCGGCGGACAATCCTATTACAATGGCATACCGAATTCGAATTCGAACAACTCGATCACACTGCAGGTGACCACCAGCAATGGCAGTCAAAGTAGTATACCAAGCACAAAGATTTATGTGCAGAACTCACCAGCGCGTAGCGTTATAACGTTGGAGAATGGCAAACTGATGGAGAATTCGAATGTCTACATCATTAATAATGAGACGACAACCAATGAGAAGGGTGAGATCATTAAGAAGACGCTCTCGAAGCAGGAAACTGCGCCAATGAGAAGTCAGCAGCAACAAAAAGAGCAACAGAAAAGAAATTACGCACAGGCGCATGCGCAAACACACAGCCAAACGAAGTCAATGCAACAGCAGCAGCTGCAGCAGCAACAACAACAACAGCAGCAATCGACAAATATTCAACAAATCTACAAAGACAATTCGATTAGCGAGAATGAGGCGAACTCCGAAACTTGCGACTCCATTTCGTTTATCAGCGAAACATCACCGGACAATTTGGATACGCTCAGCTCCACCGAAGTTATTGACAACTCGAAATTCACGAAGAATATCAACAACGACGCCACAATGAATAACAGTCGTAAGCTTTGCTTACAACTGCCGCAACACGGCTCCAGCCATATTGTCTACAAAAATAATGTGTTGAAAAACGAATCGAATCCGAACTCACCCAGCGGCGAGAAGACGCTCGCAATGGCGGCGCTCGCAGCTAAACAAGATTTCGAAATTGCCGGTTCGGTTGGTAATTTACGCTTCTACGAAAAGAATACCAAGGACACAACACACGCGAAATTAATGAACTCACATTGTGATTTAAAGAATCTAAATCGTTACGAGTCTTCCGGTAATCTACAAAAGACCGGCAATATTCTGCAATCGAATCCAGCCATAAATAGTGACGATCTGGCGCATATATTGCAAAAAAACATAATTGCCGTTGGCAGCGAGCCGAATTTAGCTTTAAAGGACAATAACTGCAGTAACGCGAGTGATAAGTCCGTCGAAAAGGAGGCGCTCGATCGACGCTTCAGCTTGTCGAAAGACCCCAACGGCCCGGTCAGCGCCAATGCAACCGGCAATGAAGACCTCTACAACTTTCCCAGTCTAACGGATTTGTCCTTTAATTTTACCTCATTGGCGGCGCAGAAAATCCTACAGGGTGTCAGCCTGAATAGCATCGATACGTTGGTGGAGCTAAATATGGCAGCTGCTGCTGCGGCGAATAAGGAGAAGCAACAGAATAATCAACCCACGCCTGTGTGTACCGACTACGGTATGGTGTAGCGGCTTGATTGATAGACGACCAAATGAAATTCAATAAAAAAAATTGCGTTAATGCGCTGAAATGAGCTTAGGTCAATTGAGGATGGAGCAGGTTGTTATGTCGGTGGCTTTTTAGGTGGCAATGGGGCAATGCAAAGGGCACGCATGGTCAGTATGATGGCGCACAACTTCAACTTACTAAATATTCGTACTACTAATAATCTTAAACTAAAAACAAACATTGAAAACGTAAAAAGATATTTACTACTCGAATTTAGAAAACGGATACGGAACCAGAATAGATGCTATTCTTGTTCAAGCAGTAATTTTTTCCCATACTGTAGATAAAGTGGCATATTTGGAGTTAGTGTAAGTGGAATTCATTATTCAGATTTTACTTGAAAAAACAGAAAATAAATTTCTTTACCTACAAGCAAAACTCCTAACCTAAATCAAGTCGGATAATTATAATTTGGTCTAATTTCTAGTAAAACTGTGTAGCAGTTATAAATTAACAACAATTCAATCAGACTAATGGTCTATAAGTTTTTCATACCCATTAGACCAGTTTTCCCATTATATGGTTCTCTACTTAAGAATAATTCGCTCGGACTATTAGTACCCGAAAAGATAACCGGTTAAATAAACATTATACATAATATCAGACCCAAAAATTTTTTTGAACATTCAAAATGACATAGATTGGGCCTTTAAATATCAGATCATTAATTCCAATATTTATACACTGATCTTCCCTAGTACAGCAGATCGTAAATAAAAGAAAAGAGAGCAAAAGCCCACAAATCAATAAGCCACGCTCTAGGTGTCTTCACCGATGCGCTACTTTGGGTTATCTGTGAACACAAACGTTTTCTAAATAAACTATATCGGAAATTTATGACTGTTGTAAAGCCGTAACTATAGTCTGATTACTCTAGTTTCAATCACAGAGAAGCCATATTTTGATGAGGTTCAATTCAAAGTTCCTAAGTTAGTGAGGTAATGGCAATATGCTAAGGTGATGGTTCATGGGTCATTCTAGGTCAATTTGGATGCCATAAAATTGAGCAAAACAAAACTGATTGAAACAAAAATTCCTAATAAGTGATGTAGCTGTCTTAACCAATCTTAAAGTAAGGAAGCTTTCATAAGAATGCTGCAGGTTTTGATGGATGCTGCGCGTATCAGTGTTTCAGAATTCAGAAGACGACATATGTCATGGAATTATCTTTCAAGTACATATAAAAAACGTGTTCTTCAGACGACTCGCTACAAGGCAGCTTTGTGAAAAGCTCTTAAAACAATATTAGACCAGTTTGTTCGATCAGTTTTTTCCAACTTTTTTTCGACGAGTTTTTAAATATTTCTTAACATAATATTTTTTAATATTATTTTTTCAATAAAGATAAAAAGGGTATTGTAAAAGCACTGCCACTCCTCCAAATTTTGCACTTTACCAAAAAACCAAAAAAAATATATATATAAATATTTGAAATATAAAGAGTAATGCGGTAATTATGAAAAATCGTTAAAATTCAAAAAAAAAAAATACTCGAAATATTCATTTGTCTGTTACAAACGATATACTTAAGTATTTCTCCTAAATGTGTACTCGCCTACAGCGTCGATGAATAGTAAACTGAGACTGTAGACTGTTTTGTAACGAATAACAATACTGAGCACTAACCAAATACATACATACATACAAGTATGTGCATATATGTTATGTAAACAGTAAAAAAATTATTAAAAAATAAAAAAAATATTGAAAAAAAAAATATTATAAAAAATTGTAGTCGTATGTAGCTGAACGAAAGAACTATATACCCATTATTATAATTAAATAGTGTAGTGAAGAAGAATAGATTTAAACGCTGAAAGTTGTAAACCAACATAACATACACAGTTACTGAAATTTGCACGTGTTTGGTTATTTTTAAATTCATTTTTACAAACGCTACCACAATAATAAAAACTTTTATATTATTTCACTGTTTCTCTGATTGAAATAAAATAATTTTGAAAAAGTACTTTTTCAATTTTCAATATTCTTGGTACCAAAAGAGTTGAATCTAACACTACTTGAATTTAATTTATTATTTGGTCAAGTTGAATTAAATCTTAAAATTAAGATTTTTTTTCAATTTAACTTAGCGAAAATTTGAAAATATTAGTTTTCTAAATAGTTCCTTTCGAAAATGCTTAACCGACAGTTACTGGAATACAAAATATTTAAAAATTTTTTTATTATATTCGAAAATTAAATTTTTTTATAATTTGATACTGAAAAATAACTTGAATTTTTCAAAATTTCAGAATTTTTTCTAATAAAATAGCTTAACTCATATTTTAGTGTAATTGTTTTTTTTCAATGTAATTTAACGAAAATTTCAAAATATTTACTTTCTAAATTTTTTTTTTTTGAAAAATACTCCACCGACAGTTACTGGAATACTCGTACTTAAAATGTATACATTTTTGATCAGAATTGGAAACTTGAATTTTTCAAATTTTCAAAGGTTTTTCGATATTACTATTTCGTATTTTATTGAATCCTTTGACATTTTAAATACATTATATTCGAAAATATATACTTTTTCCTTTTTAGCAAGTTAAATTTGCTTGCTATTCGACTACAATTTGATTTGTTTATTATACATATATATTAAAATTAAACTAATTTTGGAAAAAAATTTAAATTTCGTAATTATTGTAACGATTTGTTTTGGAAAATTTAAAATATCGTATGAAAATCCAAATTTTTAAATAATTAAAATGTTTAGTTTCGAAAAAGAAGTAGATCTTTTTATTTTTTTTTTAATCGAATATCTGTAGTTGAGTATTTTTACGGATTTTTTTTCGATTCGATATCGAAAAGTTTTAAAATTTCGGAATTTTTGGTATCAAAAAAAATAAAGTAGGATTTTGTGCAAATTTTGATCGAAAACAATTAAATTTGTTTATTTTAACTTTTATCATTTTTTAAAGCGTACGAGTTCTTGCTGCTGCTAATCGAATCTACAGTATAGTATATGTAGTATAATATATAGTATGTAGTTTAGTTTTTTTTCGGCTTAATTTTCGATTCGTTATCGAAAAATTTTAAAATTTCAAAATCTTAGAACTTCATCCCACGTTATAATTTGAAGTTTTTATGCAGATCGTTTTTGGAAAAATTTTGATTTTTTATGTATGTTCATTTTTTTTTGTGCTTGGTTTTGTTGGCAGTTCCTTAAATCATTTACTTATTCTGCTGTTGTGCTTGTACTTGTTGTTGTGCTTTATCTGAATTACCATAATTTCTGCGTTCGATTTTTTTTTTAATTTTGGTGAACCAACGCTGCCTTTTAATGCTTTGACACGCCTACATACACACATAGGCGCCACCAAAGCGCTGCAATTGCCACTTTAAAGCGCGCCACATACACATTTACAGTTATGGACATGTAAAATTTGAATAATTAATTTCATTATAGTTTATGTAATTACTTTTCTTTACAGTGCCAAAATGTTTTAGTTTAAAACAAAACAAAAAAAAAATGTATTAATGATTAATTGCGTTTTTTAAAACCTAATTTAAGTTTTAAATATTGTAAATTTGCAAAAAAAAAATATATAGATATATATTAAATACAGTTGTATATGCTAATGTAATAATGTAATAATTTTATTTATTTCATTCGAAATCCTTACAACGCCGCCCAAAATACAATACAATACAATAGTTAATTATAAAAGTAATGGTAAAAAAACACTGCTAAATACGATTACTTATAAAACTTAAAGGAAGTAGTTGTACTCACAAAGGTTTACTGGTATACAGACATATATTTTTTTACAGTTACAATACATATAGTACATACATATGTACAATTTGTTTACTTTAATTTGTTAAATAGTTTTTAAAAATATAATTCGACGTTTGTTTTATTATGAAACAAAACAAACAATAACAAAAATAAAAACAAATGTACAGCAGGCAATAAATAAAGTCGAACTCCTCAAATACTTGGCTTGCATTTCATACAAAATAGTTGAGTAATAAATATTATTTTAAAATAAAATGTAATTATAATTATTTTTTTTTTTACTTTTTACTTTGTTTAATTTTAAAACACATTGTGATGTCGCTTTGCATTTCACAGCTATTATTTACCACAATAGTTGAATGTTTATTTTCTATTAAGATTTTATTTTTTGTTATTGTTTGTATTAATTCAACAGTTCTCTTCTAAGGATTTTGCTTGGCATTTAAACACACGATTTAAAATAAAAATATATAAAAACGAAAAATGCATAGACTTCGAACGCGAAAACATACAAACATACAAGCATATGTATGTAATTAACCTTAATTCATATGATTTTTGTGTAAAACCTAACTTTAAGAAATATGTAATGAATGTCTTAACAAGAAACATTTTATAAATAAGGAAGGCCTTAATATGAATCAAATAAAATGTAGCGTAAAACGGCATAAAGCCGCTAGAAATCAAATAATCAAACCAAAATCAAGGTGTTTTAGTCAACATTAAACGGTAATCAGGTAAGGTAAGCTTTTGAACGAAATCGTCAAAAGTGCTTGAAATAAAATATATGTATATGTATATAATATATAAAAGGTATAAGAAAAAAATTTAAATATAAATAAAAACTATTGTTTTTGAAACAAAAAAAACTTTAAAAATTTGTAATAAATAAACTAATAATAATGAAAAACTTAAAAAAATATGAAGAATTAAAAAAAAAATATTTGATAAAATAAAAAAAATATTATATAAAAAACTTTTTCAAATAAATACAAATACCATATATGTAAGTGTATATAATATATAAATGGTTTAAAAATGTTATATAAATAAAAACATAATTTATTATATAAAAAAAAGTTTTAAATAATAACAAAAAATATGAAAAAAAATGATAATAAATAATTAAAAAAATAATAATTAAAAAAATAATAATAATGAAAAATTAATATCAAATTAATATCAAATTAATAGAAAATGAAGAAAAAATTCCAATAAAAAATAATAAAATAGAAAAATTAATAATTATAAGGAAATTAAAAAATAATAATAATAAAATGACTGACTTGTAGATATAATATAACCCCCTTGCAAAAAAAAAGTTAAAGAAAAATAAAAACAAACATTTCAAAAAATTAAGAAAGAAATAATAAAAACTAAAATTCAATAAAATAAAAAAATGTATCTTAAAATAATAAATTAAAGAAGGAAATTTAAAATAAATACAAAAATATTTTTCAAAGAATTTGCAAGCTTAGTAGTGGCAAGTTTTTGGCAAACATTACTTGCAAGGCAATTTCTGCTTTGTAATCTCTTGCGCACATTACAGTTGTGGTGTTTATTAATATTTATAATCATCTATGAAACAACTTTCTTAAGACTATATACATGTATATAACACATCTTAATGAATTACATTTTAGAATTACAATTTCGTAAATACATATATAATATTTTAATGCACATAAATAATAACTAATTTACACAGCAATAAGTTATTATTTGAAAAATTTAAACGAAAATTTAAATACTCAAATCATTTAAAAAAAATTAAATATTTATTTTAATAATATTTAATAATAATTAAATATAATATTTTGAAAGCACAAACGCAACCAAGTTAAGATATTAAAACTAAAATAATAATTTAATTAACACAAGTCGTGTATTTTTGTTCAAATACAATTCACTTCTAACCATTTAACGAAGAATGAAATTATTTTATTTTATTTTATTATTAGCTTATTTTTTTTTTTTTTGGTTAGATTTAAAATATTTGAGCAAGTTGAAAACAGATTTTAGTTAATATAAAAATTTTAGATTTTTGAAATTTACCAAACAAAAATAGAGTATATTTAATGTCATAGAAACAAATAATTTTTGTTATTATTTGTAATAAATAAATACACAGGTAGGTTGTACATGAAAATATTGCGTAATTTAAGCAATTTCATAATTAAACAACACTACAATTCTACAATAACTAAATAACCACTCATGCACGTAGGCAGTGTTTGAAGGCTTTTAACGAACAAATATTTTCAGTTTTATAACTACTGCCAATAACAATGCGCGAAAATAACTGTTGCTTTCAGTTTTCAATAGAAGTGTTTAAGTTCACGAATGGCTGGCACGTTATATGTGTAGTATAAATTTTCGTAGGGAAATTGAAAGGGATTGGCGAAGCTCAACTTTAACAGGCCACCTTCCAAAGCTTCTAAGTACTTGGTATCCTAAAAGCAGAAGTATGAATTATTTATGCTCATAAATGTATATTATTTATATTGCTAAACCTTACATCCAAAATTAAATGCCTTATTCTCGTACCCGCAACCATCATTAGCACTGGCATACTATCACGTGAATGTTGCTTGTCAACTTGCTTTCTTTGCAGCACATCTATAGTCTTATAGACCAACTCTTCTGTTAACTGATCACAATGCATCACATTAATATATTTTAACTTTGGACAGCCGTCCAACAACACTAACACCGCTTCATTAGTAACTGAGCGACAGTATCTTAAACTAACAGTTTCTAATTGTTGTAATGCGCAAATATATCGCAAACATGTAGCATCTATATATTTACTACAATCGCAACCAAATACTTTTAAATTCTTAAATTGTGACAAAGGTCGCATGCCGTCATCAACAATAAGTCTGGGCGAAAAAATACGCAAACACTCAAGTTGCTCACCCTTTTGATCAGCCAATCGGTTAAGTAATAAATTAAATGATTGTGTCCGAAACATTTCGGCAGACAATTCCAAATCAACTAATCGTGGCAGCCGGGCTATATCATAGTATTCAAAGCTTTGATTACACGATATATTAAGTTTTTCTAAATTTACACAATTCACTGGCAGCGCTGAAATTGCGACATCAGTAAGCGCATCGCACCATTGTAATGTCAGCTTTTTAAGCTCCTTAAGCGATGTACAAATTTCCACAAAAAAGTCATCTTGTATGCCGCATTCAACGAAAGTCAGTTCTTTCAGGCATTTTAGTTTACTTAAATAGCGTCCTAGATTTAGAGAGAAATAAAGATTACAGATAAATTCTTCGCAACAAATACTTTGCCGCTTACCCGTTATGTCTTCTTCACCCTCTAGTCTCAAAATCTCTAAAGTTGCCAATTCCGATACACTTTTCATTGCATTGTCGTCCAGCGAACACTTTTGCAAATGCAAACTATTTAAATGTTTCATATTCATAAGTAATTTGCGTAAACACTTAGACTTTATTTTTGTCATTCCAAAATAAATTCGTCGTACATTTGGACAATTTTTATTTACTTGCGTTACATATTCATTACGTTCCTGATCATTGTAGGGCAGGTTAACTAGCTCCTCTAAATAATTCCCAGCCATTTCAAAAAATCGCCTTATTTCACGCGTACTCATATCGCTGAGATCGTATTTTCGCAATATTTTGCAATGCCTTTGACAATAATATTGAAATACGCTGCGCAAACGTGGGCAAACCGTTGCCAAACGCACCTGTTCTACCAATTTTAGTTGCTTAAAGATTTCCAGCAAGCAATCATCGTTCAGTATTAAAATACTGGCTTTTGTGACTTCTCCATCTCCTTTCTGTTGAGACATTTTGCCCGCTAACATAAACAGCACACTCAGAAATATTTTTAACAAATTGAAGCCGGCATTTGAAGCAAATATTTTTCATCAGCTGTGTGACAACAGCTGTTTTTAGAATTTCGCAAATGTCAATTGTACAGGTCAGTTATGGGAGTTGCAGAAATCGATAACAAAATTTTGGGACAACATGTATGAGAAAAAAGCCGATTGAGGAGAGTCGATGTAGCTCTGTTAGATCTTTTTTTTTTATTTGTAAAAATAAAATAAAATTTTAGTAACAGAGCATAAATAAAACTACGTTAAAACGTTACAAAACAATTGTATATTAATTTCGTTAAATAAACGCACTCGTCGAAACGAAACACTCCAAAAATTTTTATCGAAACTATCGATAACTCATATCAATCTATCAACACATGTTCACCTTCAAAACAGCTGACAAGGTAATGGGTAGACGTTTTAAAAGAAATTTGTTGTAATTTAATATTTTTAGTAGGGTTATAATTTAAACAAAAAACAATTATTAATATAAATAAGAGAATTTCATACAAATCGAAAATGGCCGATTCAACCATTATCCCCACAGAAAATCATGCAGAGAGTAGCGATAGCAACAGTAATGGAGAAAACCATAGCGGTATATCGGTGCCAAACGCAAGTGCAGTAATGATAGCATCACTTAAAGCACCGGAAATTCTTGAAGAATATGGACCCAATTTAAAATTATTGGATTGCAATTCACAAGTGGCAGAGCTTTTAACAATAATCCGTGACAAGTAAGTCTTACCTACTAGGCAAAAATATTTGTGTGCTGAAACTTACCAAGTATTTTGGTCCACGCAGAAACACTACGCGCAGTGACTTCAAATTTTACGCCGATCGCCTCATACGTTTAGTAATTGAAGAATCTCTTAATCAACTACCTTATTCCGATTGTCGCGTGGAGACGCCAACAGGTGCAACTTACGATGGACTAAAGTACCAAGCTGGAAATTGTGGTGTGTCTATTATACGCTCTGGCGAAGCAATGGAACAGGGACTGCGCGATTGCTGTCGTTCTATACGTATTGGCAAAATATTGGTTGAGTCGGATGCGGACACACATGAAGCACGAGTCGTTTATGCTAGGTTTCCGGACGACATTGCTAGTCGACAAGTGCTACTCATGTATCCGATTATGTCAACTGGTAATACCGTTTTGCAAGTGAGTAAAGAAAATAATATTTTAAACAAATATTTATTTATATTTATAGTTATTTGTGTAATCTATTTGCATATATACGCAGGCTGTGAATGTACTTAAAGAGCACGGTGTTCCCGAAAGTTGTATTATATTGTCGAATCTCTTCTGTACCCCAATAGCTGCTAAAACCGTAGTAGGTGCTTTTCCTAAGCTTAAAATTCTCACATCTGAGTTGCATCCTGTGGCACCTAACCATTTTGGGCAAAAGTACTTTGGTACAGATTAATGTGGAACTATATGTTTAGATTATCTATATCTGCATATAAAACGATTACAAATTATCCTAAAGTTTAAGATTATTAGGGCCATATAGCTATTTAAATTGTTTTATATATATTGTTTTTCAAAACCACAAAGTAGCAACGATGTACTTAAAGATCGTTAACCTCTACGCTTTTTCTATGTATACATTTTAAATTTTACAAATATAAATTTTTATTTCTTAAATTGTTAAATATGCAATATTTAAAAAATTTTCTTTTCAAAATTATAACTCTTTTGATGAATAGAAATTTATTGATCGCTTTGTTAATTAACATATATTATGGATAATTTCCAGAAAAAACAACACACATAGATATTTCAAATTTAAAACTAACATTTGTTTCAATGTTTTCCATTGTTCATTTATCATAGCATTTATAATAAAAAAAAAAAACAGATACATCCCTTATTTTAGTTTGATATATTGACAATTGTTATCTGTAATTTTATTTGTGAATTATCAGGACTTAAAAGTAAAGAGCAATACATATGAATTACAAAAATGCAGATATAAAATGATTGAATTAACATAATTAAATAATTTGTGCACCAGTAACTTAATAGCAATAAAAGGCGATGTTAAACTACATTACGATGCCATTTTATAATTAACTACGGTGTCAACTTTATGCAAACCAGTTGAGAAAGAGCGCAACTGCACAGCTTGCGCATTTTGTATAAAAACTGCTCCGGTCTCATCCCATTTTTCGGGAATCTCACAATTTTGCAATGTATAAAGCATGATATCAAAAGTGCAAATGCAATCGAGCAACGGTAAATAACTAACCGTGGCAGATATTTGTCGCATAACATCGCGTATTTCATTTTGTATACGTTTCAGTTCCTTGCTCGATGTTAGTTTTGTAGAATCGCCAACCTCACCATCACCCAATTCGGCATGCATTTTGAAGTCCCAACACTCCAAAACTTCTTTGGTATGCGCATTTGTGATCACCATCGAGATTTTCTCTATCATATTTTTCGCAAGCCAATCTGCAAGAAAGTTTAGCAGATAATATAAACTCAGGATGATTACTTATGTGAAAATATTATTACCTTCCGTTTGCTGTAAGACATTTGACAAAAACTCTTCAATCTTTTTATCTTTCGACATTAGTATTGTTATACCATATTGCTGTGTATTCTCAAAAGTTTCGGGTGGATAAATACCACGTTGAAATAGAATTGAATTAATACCATATTCTGAAATGAAAACCAATACCGTTTACCATGGAGGCCTTTGTGTTTGGCACAATGATTTTGAGTTGGCGCCATTGTGTCACAGCTGCCTAAGCGTTTACACAACTCCACTTACTTAAATATTCAGCAATAATTTGTGCGGAGCCACGTAACGTGATGCAGTTTTTGGTAGTTTGAGTTGTAGACATATTTATATTAAGCAATAAGCAGACAAATAAATAAAATTTCTAAAGTGCAAGAAGTTAAATTAAACGATTGAACGTAACAAAAGAAAATTCAAGTGTTCAGGGTTGTTAAGTGATAGCTTTTCTTTTCATAATACAGGGTTTCCAACTGCTAACAAAATTTTGTTTCACAAGGTTTGTGCAAACTAATGTCTTCAAATCAAATAAAGTTTTATATATTTATTAGTTTATTTATATAAATATTTGGACAATTTGTAAACAAAAATGTTTTGTATGTAAGAAAAAAGTGTATATATATTAATGGTTTATTCTAGTTTTATTTATATGTGTATCACATTTCATTAAATATTTTATTGTATATATCCAAAGTTTTTAATGTTAAGTTAACAGTTTATTCGGGAAAATATGTTAATTCGTGAGAACTTATCTCATAATAAGAATATTCGAGAAACTGTTATTATTAATAATATACCGTATCCATTCTGTGTTGGGCCCCATTCTCATATTTGAATTAAATATTAACAACCCTGTTTTACTAAACCCAACTTTCACTGTTGCCACTTTTAACAGTTTTCCCTTGTTTCCGAATCTGGAAGTCGGTGCAAAACGAGTATTTATTGTTTGCCTTGTAATCTGGCATTCGCCGTTGTTCTCCTCGTTCGTTCGGTTTTCATAGCTCTATACAGAAAAGAGTTTATATGTGAGGTGATATATTATTTAGCAAATAAAAATTGGCTTTTACAAATAAAAAATATCGACAAAGTGAAGTGTGGGTGTTATAATAAAAATTACAACGTAGTTTGGTGCTTGTGCAACATATGTACATATATATTTATTTTAAAAGTGGATATTACCTGGATTCCTGAGTCATTAAACCCATAAAAAGTATATTTACGGAAAGCATGGAAAAAAAGTCAATTAAATCAATGAAGTGCAATAAATAGGCAAATCCACTGCATAAAAAATAATTATACACCGCTAAAGCTACATGCTTTTATTAGCATATGTGAATGTTTTCATCTGTGCATTAATTGTTTAAAAATATACTGCCATACCCATAAACCCTGCGTGAATTCAAGAGAAATCGAAATGTAAAACTTTTTAACCTTCACATACTTTGGAAGTCGATTTTTTTTATTTGGCCCTATGCCACATATTTGCTGGTAGCAACGCATTTCTTTTCTGCTTTACAAATTAGCAGCGTAACAAAACAAAGCTATATTTAATATACATATGTACGAGTATGTGTATAATAAACAACGTACTTAAATTATTTCCTTGCTATGTGTTTTAGGAATCTTCGAAATTCGGAAACGATAAAGAGGCAACAAAAAGATTGTTTCATTCGTTTTGCTTGACGTTTAAGTTGTTTTGTTGTGTTCTTTAATTTGTTTTCAATCCATTTACACATATCCTTCCATTTTGTATACGCTTTGATATCTGTTCTCATATCTTTGTTTTTTTCCTGACGAATCCGTTTTGTATCTTTGCGTTGTAAAAGGAAAGCGAATATGTAGCGGTTGCAGCGATCCACGCCCGTACGTTGAATCATAGTTTTTTATTTACATTTAGGCATTTTATGTCACCTGCATTAAAAATTGTGCATACTGACTTAATATAAGAGTGAATATATTAGATTTGATACGAAAACTGCGCAAACAAACGAAAAAAATTGCTGATGTGATTGCTGTGAAAATAACATCCAAAAGTGATCTAAAATCATTAAATATATCCAATTTTAGCATCAAGAAGATATATTTAGGCAGAGTATAAACAACTATACGCAGTAATAATAATATAAAAAAAACTAACAAAGTTGCTTACGTGCTTACATACATATGTATGTAGCGTAGTAGGCGACCTTTACGTATCATAAGTACCATATACTTTAAATCGATCATTAAAAAGTGTAATTTTATGAGAAACCACATAAGTGAGCTGTACTAATTCAAATAGCAAAAATGCATTGCGACAATACGAAAACGTCGTCAGAAATCGAACATGTGGATTGGAGTACTGGCACCGGCTCTGGCCACCACTATGCGAACGTCAGGTGAGTTGGAAATTAATTAGTTGTAATATAATAAATACATTATAGCAGAACACTCTGGTACAACTGGTTCTAAGTAAAGGGAAACAATGTCTTTGGTACAACTTTAAATAAAAATGTGTTGCTATTCTGCATTAATAACTGGAGAAATGTATTTTTTCTCCTTCGATATACTTTTATTGGCAGTGTCGCTTTACTTGTTTTCTATGCTGCCTATGTTCTTCCTATTGGTTTCCAGTTTAGTATTTTCACAAGGCAAAGTTTCACTTGTTTCAAATGGACAGATGGAATTGTATTTCTCATTTCTTTTTGCTAATAGCTGTGTAGTAAATAGTTTAAACCATACAAAACCCGTGTTATTAATTGAGATATTATTTTTTTACTACTGGAAATTGCAGTATTTTCAGTGTTTAAAAGAGCTTTATTTTATAAATGTGTATGTTTGTTGAAACCAGCAAATTCAAACGAGCCTATGTACGAAGATACATATACATACATACATATATAATACGCGATACCAATCCGTGTTTGAACCCACCAAATGAAATTTATCTGTTTCTCTCATATTTTATCACTCAAAAAAAGTTCCGTTATTGCAACAGGTTTTTTGTTGAATATACATGCATATGCATGTTTGTAAATTTAATCAGTGCTTAATGTTGGCATCGGTAATTTTGCCAACGTTCGCGTAAAAATGTTTAATCACACTTTTTATTTGTGTGCTTCATTACTTAAAAGTTGACTTAAGCAAACAGGCACTTATTTACAAAAATTTTGGTTATCGTTAATGCAGTTACCGGATAGTGATACCCATTTGCAACACATCTACTTGCCTACCTGAATTTTTCTATATTTAATATCGTAATAAGCAATGATCTTAAATGTATCCCATACATTATTTATAAATTTTTAGTAACGGTTTTAATCAACTTATCCGGTCTAGATAAAGGAAAATGTAGCCCGCATCCAACACATTTCGGTATACATACATATGTACAGTTGTAAGTATATTTATGTACTAAAACAAGAAAAACATTGACTTTGGTTGCACTGAAGCTGCAACAACTTTAAAATGTGAAAAAAAAGTTTCCATACAATAACTTGATTTTGATCGATCAGTTTGTATGGCAGCTATATGCTATAGAGGTCAGTTATCAATTCTTGGTAAGAAAAAAACATGTGCAAAATTTCAGAGCGATATTTCATAAACTGAGGGACTAGTTCACGTATGCATAAATGGATATGGCTAAATTAAGACAGCTCGTCACGCTGATCAGTTAGAATATATAATATGTACATATATACTTTATAGGATCTCCGGCATTTCCTTCTGGGTGTTACAAACTTAGTGGCAAACTTAATATAGCCTGTCCAGGGTATAAATATATCTACATTTGTTCGGTTGTGTCGATTTTTTCAGGTTCTTGTTTTTTCACTAAGAATTGTTGCGTATGCACGTCATACAAACTTATACTTGATTAAGTAATTACACCAATTGTTGATTACGCACAATCATTAAAAAATATACTGAAAGATGACGAGACTCACGAAGCAATCTTTGTTGTATTTGCGTAATTGATAGTAAATCCAAACGTAACTGTGACCACCCTCTTATTGGTTGATGATATGTACTTTTTATTGTTAACTCAGTAATCAATTACCATATTTTTTAAGTTACTTAATTTCTATGGACTTTGCTTTTTTTACTTGAACAAATTATTTAGAATTTTCTAAATGCGCACATGCCAACTTTTTTCCAATATTTCGAGTTAACTATTTTTCGAAGTGTGAGAAAAAAGCAGTCTATTGAGTATGCTAGAAATACGGCTGACAAACATAAAAAGTTGTGTGTATATGGCATATCCATATTGATCAGTGCATATTTATATAGTATATATATATGTATAAATATTTGTATAATGTACACAACAGACCACATTGACACACAGCTGTTTATATTACCAATTCTAATGAAGTTATACCAATCGATACCTAACTAAGCGCACCTACCTACCTACCAACCTATACAATTATGCACATTCTTATGCAGAATAACAAAATTGCGTTAAAACTAGTATACCTAGAACAAGACAGTGCGCCAAATAATAAAAAATACAATGTATACACATAAAATATGTATTATTATGAATATTTGTTTTAATTGACACTGATATAAGGTTATCGAAAACCACTTATTTCTGCGTTTATTTAATATTATGGTATACAGATAAGTTTGTGTACAAAAAAAGGGGGTTAACGAATTATATATATTTTTAAATGTATAACCAGCCTTTACTGAGAGTTTATTGCCGCGAGCGCAGTTGACATGACCATGAAAACCATAAACAATATTTTATGATATTTTTGCCTCAAATTGAAAGAAACTAAATTTTCTTTTAGAAATGTGTCAACAAAATGTGTTTGTAAATTAAAAACAACAAAAAATTTGTTTTGCAATTACGATTGCGATTTTTTATCTTATTTCTTTTGCAGTGGAATCACATTTTGTGTCGTGTTAATAGGTTTTCCGAAATCGACTTATCGTTTAGTTGAGTAGTTTTTGCGATAAGTTTTTGTTTACAATCTTACTTATATTAATAATAATATAAAAATTCGTGTTTTGTTAGCCAATTTTAAGTTTACAGAATGTAAAGAAAAATTACAATTTCTTGCAAAAATAAATTCTTGTTTCAAACTAAACAAATTTATATTGTTGTTGTTGTAGTAGCGGCAGAAAACATTCCCGAAGTAATTTCGAGGAACAGTGCCAAGTTGACAGTCCTTGGCCGGATAAAAATCCGGGTTACTTAGACCCGACTGTCGAGGGAACGTTTAATTTATATTGTAAAAGCTTTTGACCTAATAAATTAAAATCTCAGTTGAATATCCATTTTGTTCAAAACCATAGAAATGTAGTGCATATAAACAACGCATCCTGTTGAAAGGTTGCTAATTGAACTAGATATACTTTGTATACAATTACGATAATGCAGTATCAATTAATTAACTTCCTCACGCTTTGGCCAGCTAATCAGTTTGCAAATTACACGAGAAACAGCACAGCTGGGTCACAATTCACAGACAGCAGAAATCTATAACTCAATTCCATATGGGTGTAATTTACATATGAGTGCATAAAATAACACAAGCTGACATAATAGAACAATTATTCTAAGCATTTTTTTATTTTTGTTTACACGACTGTAATGAATGGTATTAACACTGAAGCTCAACTGTGTTCCATTATTGCAATCAGCTGTGTATTTAGATCAAGGAATTTCGACAGCTAATGAATAAATATTTATTAAGCGGCACACCTAGTGTGAAATTAAAAAAAAAAATATTTTTAATGTCATATATGGCGATGTTATACCTTTAAAAATAACATACTAACATTTTAAATCGATATCTGATAGTTTTTGTGTAGTATACTTCTAAAGTGCAGCCGCTCAGTTCAAACAGTTCCTTCAGTTTATCTTTAAACGCGTTATGCCCAAAACTAAATTTTTTAATTTTTTTCTTCATATACTGTACATGTTCTCTCTTCTGATAGTTCTCCATATAATCACCGGCCTGTTTTTTGATTTAATTAAAAATTTAATTTTGGCACGCTTAAAGCGACCAAAATTTTTAATAATATTCAGTTTTTTTAAACGCCATCCACGAAAAATATTTAATTTTTAACTTCAAAATTTTTTACTTTGCCACGTCAGATTATTTACAAAGTAATGAAATTCTGTGCAAATATTTTGGAGCAATGTATCAATAGTTTCGCTATTTGAGATCTCCCTTAACAAATATTTAGCTAACTTCGATTTTAGTCGCTTTTAAAAATTGTAATGCGATATTAATTGCTTCAACAAGCTAACCTCACTTACAAAATTTGCATTCTGCATAGTGTCAGTTAATATTAATGACATTAAATTTATATATTATAGTTTGAAGTAAGTCAAACCAGTTTGACTAATACGAGTTATAAGCTTTTAAATCCTTTTAATTAGCACTGAGTTAGTCATATTGTTGATAGTTGTTAATCAATACACTAAGTAATCTGACACAAACGTCATATATCAACTAAAATATAATAAAATGCAAATATTTAATCTAAATAACACTACGTTGTTGTTGTCATTAGGGTCTAGTCTAATAAGCATATTAGCATTTTACAGTAAGAGGATTTCCTAAGTAGCCGTTAGAATGTCAGTAATTATCTTTCATTAGTAATGAACTGCAATAAAACTTAAAGTGTGATTTTCTCTCAAGTTTATTCAACATTATCAACGTTTATTAATGCGATAGTAAATTAATATATTGTAGAACGTTAAAAGTACGAAATTCGGCACACTGGATACTAATTGTGGCAGAATTTACTTTAATGATTGCCTTTTGTACAATTATAAGTTGTTTTGAAGGAGATCAAGTTTTAATTTGGCACGTCGACTCACAATTTTCTTTCAAGTAGGGATAAGCTTACTCACATAACCTACAGTGCCGACCATTAAGTGCTTTGCTCCATGCCTTTTTTGCGGATGCTAATTGCTTTGAGTTAATAATAATAAGTTATGTAAAGTTCGAAAACTAGTTTTATTTGTTTATATATATACAAGTATAGTACATATATACACCCCCTACTAATTATATACACATACATACATATGTAAATTAAATCTAAAGAGTGCTGATAGATTTCATATGCATATTTAAATAATAAATATTGTAAAAATATTGTGACTTGCCCAACCATATTTGCTTACAACTTGTCCCAGGGTCTCCATTTGTGTGTACACTTCATTGCATATGTAATAGATCTACAACAGTTCCGTGTTTGTATTTTTTTGGAAACTAGTTTGTGCGTATGTTTCACCAGAGCTAGCTAGACTGCTGACCATATTGAAATTTCAATTTTGGAGACAGGAGATTTGCCGAGAGAAGCCAGAAATTATATCGGCCAGAAAAAATTCGGGTCACGTAGATAGAGTTTTGTGTTAATTTCTTACAAAGTT